TATATACATGTATACACGAGCATTTGTATTCACAGGATAAGTGCATTCGATCAACTCTGCTCTGTGTCAAGTGGCAAACTGACCTCACATTTGATACGACTGGGAAAGGACATGGGACAAAGATGGAAAAGGGTCAGGTTGAAAAGGACAGCCGCGTATGTGGAGAACTTTCCAAGTCCACACCTCATGTGGCCTCTTCCATGTGTTTTGCACCCTGTTTACTAAAAGAAGAGGGGGCATCCAGGAAAGTCAAATTCAATCTTAAATACAAAAAATGCATTGCTTTCAGAAGGAAAATGACCTGTTAGCTCATATTACATATCAACCAGTGGATTTAGCTACTGAGGGTTTTTTTGTTTTTTTTTTTTTTTCCTGAATCACCAATGATGTCTACTAAAGCCATCTCCGTTGGCTTGATTTTGGAAACAACTCCTGTCCCCCTTTGAAGGCATCACACACAACAGCTTGGCACAAAGAAATGGCACAGGGTGTGCATAATGGGAACATAAACCGTTCACCTCCTCTGAAAGATATTTACGTTTCTCAAATTAGTATTTATTTAGGTCTTCAGCCCCAAGGGATTCAAGGGCAAGGTATTTATTTATATGACAACTGATTATGAAAGCTGTACTTTTTAGGTTTAAAGGAGATAAATTTTTAATCACCATTTAATTAACACCAACTTTCTTTTTTTCTTCCTTTTCATTAGCAATTCCATTTGCAAAGAATTCAAGGCATTTGTCATTTCCTGAGAAGGATGAGGAATATTAAATACACATCAGTGGCAGACATATCAAATAGAATAAACAATGTGTAAATGGGTGGCTACAATGGGTCTTTTGACTAATTAAGTGCCTTGGCTAGAATCCCATTTAAGTGCAACTATTTCATCTGTAAACAAGGTATAATTTTCTACCTCCTCCTTCAACCCCTACACCCCTTTTGCAGAAAATAAGCGTGAATTGATTTGACTGATTTTGCCCCAGTGGATGAATTTTAATACTTTGTCAGAAAAAGCTAAAGATTGAGATTTCATAGGCAACCTTTCAAAGAGGGGTAAGAAAACCAAAAACATAATCCATGAGAAAACCAGTCTTGCTGGTGGTAGAAGAATATAGTGGAACTCGCAAGAGGAAAGAGTAAGACTGAACAATAGTATTTTAAATTCTGACATCGCTTGTGAAAGACTTACTAGCAGAAAGATGGCCCCGTAGGAAATTACTTTCTCATATCATCAGCCCCAGAAGTAGCCTGCGGAGCGACAGTCACCATGATGCAAAGTTCCTACTTTCCAGGAACCCAAGAGACTTCTGGAGACCTTGGATGTTAACTTAATACACGGAGATGCTAACTAAAATGCTGATGGTTAAGTTCACCTTGGAAGAAAGTCCTGGTTGTGCTCGACTTCTAACACTCAGCCACTGACAACCTCATGGAACACAGTTCTATTCTGATACCAGTGAGGTCATCAAAGTTCATGTAACTGGTTACAAGATCCTCAGAACAAAAGGCTCTTCCCTTTTATAGAATATTCAAACCGTGGTCACAAAGAAACCCTCTCTGATCAGATGGATCCACGAGAGAAAGATCTGCTGGGCCTTTCCTCAGTGGGGGAAACCATTGAGAATGAACACAAAATCACCAAACATGTAACCTCTGACTTGAACTTGGTGACACTTGGGCAGACATTTGGCTACTGTGTGCTTGGGCATCAACAACTCTAAAAGTCTCAATAGCTCTTTAATAGACCCCTGGTGGAGGATTTTCTATTTAATCCTCATTGCCTTGCTCACTGGAGGAGCTATTTACTGTTGAACATTATATTCTTGATGCTCTTTTCCCAAAGAAACGAACTGACTTGGATTACCTTTGAATAGCTCTACATATTTTCTCTTCCCTTAGAAATTGACCATCTGATCCAATGGCTGATTTTATTACCTCTGGGATCATAATGTAACAATTTGGAGTCTGTGAATTTATAAGGAAAGGGAATTGTGCATTTATTATGCAGTATCCAATTTCTGATTATTTCTTTTGAAGAACAGGTTGAATGTTAAAAGAAGCACATACTTAACCACTACATTACTGTTGGTTCTTCTAAATGCCACACTTTCAGTTTCCTTAATCAAGGAGAGATGGGACTAAGATAAGAGATAATTTAATCCTAGGGAGAAGGCTTTGTGATCTATAAATTCAGTCCAAGGGCGATCTGTCCCCATCCTGGAGGTCTCTGGGGTGGCCGGCAGCACAAGAGTTCTCATGAAGTCACAAGACAAAGGCAGGAAATCTCTTTGAATTGACATTTCCACGGCTCTGTTTTGGGGGAAAATTTCTTAATTCACTTCATGTTGAGACGTAGCCGTCTTGGGTTGGAACAGAGGTGGTAATGAGTGGGGCAAAGATAGTGCTCTAGAATGTAATGAGAAGCAAAGATGAGAAGTTCTAGACTATTCAGTCACAAGTGTTCCTGGGATGCAGAAAGTGGGATGATGCTCCAAGCCTTTCAACCCAGGCCCCTCCAACTGTGGGTACTTGGGGAAGCCAGGAAGCAGCATCCAAGAAATAGAAGGAAATATTCAAGTCTAATCGTCACCAGCATGTTACCAGGCACACACTCTCACTGCCTTACCATTGGGTTCTATCTGTTAGCATCCAAGATGATTATAAGACTCTTACCCACAGCTTCCCTCTGCCTCTCCATTACTGCCCCTGGAATTCACTACTTTCCATATGGATAGAAATGCTAGAGATTGGGGATGTAGTGGTTAATTTCTCGGCTGCTAACCAAAAGGTCAGCAGTTTGAATCCAACAACCACACCATCATGATAAAGATGTGACACTCTGCTTCTGTAAAGATTTACGGTAGGGCATTTCTTCTCATCGATAACTTTGATGGCTTTGGCTTTGGTTTGGGCTTGGGTGTACATCCTTAAAGATGGAGTCATCTGATGAGTCCTTGAGTTGCAAGAGGCAAGTCCCTACCACCTTCCCACTCGCACAGAAAGACTATCCACAGAACAGAACACACCATGGGGAAAAAGAAAGAGGATGACTTGTCAAGTGGACCCTTTTCCACAAATCTCAAAGCAAACGGCAGGAGGAAGGGCAGAAACAGAAGCCAGCTTACATCAGCTTTGTGTATCTACCGTGGGTCACCAGGGAAGAAGGAAGTCTGCTCAAAAACCAGTTACCGCATTTTCAGGTACACTACTGTTTCTACAAACAGCCGTGGTGGCACAATGGCTAGACAATTGGCTGTTAACCAAAAGGATGGCAGTTCCAACCCACCCAGCTGCTCTGAGAAAGAAAGACCTGACAGTCGGCTCCCACAATGAACACAACTGAGGAACCTTCCAGGGCGGTTCCGCTCTGTCCTGCAGGGTTGCTATGAGTTAGGACCCACAGTACTCAACAACTTATTTTTAAATTGCATCAAAAGATTATAGGATTTGTAATATTTGAACCTAAGAATAGAACACAAAGTCTGAGAATGTGTCATCACATAGAAAACCTGTTGCTGTTGGGTTGATTCTGACTCATGGTAATCCTCTCACTGGTGACGGAGAAAACCTCAGCCCTGTACGCTGAGAAATGCCACTTTCTTCCACTCTCCATGAGCCAGGCACTGGGCTAAGAATGTGCCAAGCTCCCATCTGCCCACAGCTCTTCTTTTTAAATGAGTATTGCAGGTATGCATGGGTGTGAGTTGAACAATTACGTGGTTGTTCAAGAAATGACAAATGTTCAAGGAACTCCTTGCAACTCTCTGTTGGTGTGGTGCTTCTGAGAGAGAGGACATCTCAGAGGAGAGAGAATTATCTTAGTGACAAACCACTGTCCCACTGACACCGATGCAATTGGAAGAATGCTCAGGGGGAAGGTAAGAGCTGGTCCTACACTTCAGAGGTTTCGGATTGGAGGAGGTTGGGGGTAGAAATGGGAGTGTCCAAGTGAACGTCAGGACCAGAAGGGAGATAAGCCTAGGGCCCTGCCAGCCTTCGGGAGACAGAGGGCACCACACTTCTTACAGATCACAGGACACATATGGCTGTTGGTGCATGCCACCATATTGAAAGCTCTGGGGACAGCGACACACAGTGACGTAGACACCACCATGGCTGCTCGAGGACGGAGTGAGCGATGGGGACTCCAGGAGGGGAGGGGTAACAGATACTATACAACCCTGAGTCATCACCAGAAGGGGAGAAGCAAACTTACTTAGACGGAGTCTTCGGGACAAGCTACGACAGCCACTGTCAGAGACAGGAGAATCCACACACAGACATCGGAGACAAGGATGTGTGAGATGACGCAGCCGTGGACAGGACCGTGGAGGCTGAGGGTGGGATCTGAGTCCGTGGAACGCACAGCGACCCCCAAGGGGCCCCCCACCTGAGGCCACTCTCTGACCTTGGCCTCTAGACAGTTCTTAGGGGGACAGACGCTGATGAAAGAAGCATGGTGACCACAAGCACGTTGAATGGCTCGTCTTTGGGTGGGAGCCTGGTGTTCTGGGGTTGGGCCGGGGACTGTGATGAGAAGGTGCAACGATAAACTGTTACAAGCCAAACGTCCTAATCTCTTGTGCATGTCAATCTCACTACGGTGCAAATGCATTCTTAACTGTTTTATTATTAGTATTATTTTTTTTGTCTGTGTCAGATTTACATGCATACCATATTGCTTATTCTGTAGTAGAGAAACCGCTAGGTGTTTCGGATGGGGAAATTACATGGTGGGCTGATCGGAATGGAATTTGGTGTCTAGGAAATCATAACATCACCATTGGCATCCGATGCGTCATTACGGCCAATGCACCTAGTGGGCTTGCCCTTATGATTTTATTGTTATTATTATTATTATTAATTTTTGGTTGAGGACCTGCCTGTCTTACACTGCCATGCTCAGCACACACCTCACAGGATTCTCTGAGTGGAAGACTATGGCATGGAGCCATGTGCAAAAGAGCCAACGGAAAAGAAAAAAATACCTCCCTACATCCTCGTCTTCTTTGCAGGGCGCTATTGGACATCCAACTCGAACCCTCCAGAAGGCTGGCGATTGTATGTTTCCCTATAGACAAAACATCAATGGAAGGGTTTTATACATCAGATTCAATACTAGGCATTTTCTTGTACACGCGTCTATTGCTGCAGGAGTTTAAAACCCTGGGGGTAGAGTACATATTATTCTTATTTGCAGCATAAGGCATAACATGCTCTGGAATATACACATCGCTATGGCCCCGACTGTCCCTGGAACAGTATGACGCCGTTGACCGCAAGGACGACCTAAGGTAGCTGTCGTTCACCGCCTGGGAGGGCAGCGAGTGTTTGTAAGGGTCCGAGGGGCATCTGCCAATGACTAAGCGTTGGTCATCCCCGTGGGCGTGGAGGAAAGGGTTGTCTGAGACGTAGTCTGGCAACAGAGACTTGCTTCTCTTGCTGTTCTCCAGACCCTGGGGGAAGAGGGCGCTTTTGTGGCCCGACAGTTTGCTGGACGGGACGCTAAAGAGACTCCCGTACAAATTGCCCTCCAGGAACTGTTCTCGGTCCTTGAGGCTGATGCTCCGGGAGGGCTTGCTGGGATCCAGCTCCCTGGGCTTGTCCAGGATGTTGTCGTAGGAATGCTGGCGGCTGATTCTCAACTTGTTCTTTTGGAACTGGAGGGCATTGTTCTGCGCCCAGTCCTGCTGGTAGACCTCCTCCCGGGTGGCCGGGTTCCCCGTCTCCTGGAGCATCTGGTCTTCGTCGATGTCGTACAAGTTCCCCATGCGCAGGCAGGCGTCACACTTGAACGGGGAGCGCGTGGTGAAGTGGCCCGAGTAAGTGGGCAGGTTGGAGAGGCAGCTCCTGCAGTGGGTCGAGTTCTGCCGGTACCGGTCGCTCCCCTCGCTGCAGGGGGAGCTCTTATCTTTCAGGGTGAAGTGCTTGGAGTAGAGCTTGTACTGGTCGTTGTTGGGGGGCCCATCCTCGTTGTGGAGGGGGTTCCTGTTGATCGGCAGCGTGGCAGTGCCCTTGCGGTAGTTCTCGTTGTGGTCCTGGTAGTCCACGTTCTCGGGCAGGGCCACGTTGTCGATGAACTGGGGAGAGTCCAGGTGGAAGCTGCCCTCCTTCTCCCCGTCGATGGTGTAGATCTTGTCCCTGGGCGAGCTCGCTTTGGTTTTCACGTAGCTGCGGTCCACCTCGCTGCAGTCCTTGGGGTATTTGGAGGCCATGGACCTTTTGAAGTTGTCCTTGGTCTTGTGGTTTTTATTGTTGTCCGGCTCCCGGTGGCACGTGGCCCGGCTGGACGTTTCCGAGATGTCTGAGTGGGCCACCTCCTCCGGAAGATACCGGGGGCTCTTGAGGGAGTGGGTCCTGTTCTCCACCGACCCCTCCTCCCTCTGGGAGACCGGGTTCTGGGTCAGTGAATCCTGACGCAGCGACTCCATGGATTTCTTCCAGAGCTGCCGGGGCCTGGAGTTCCCTTTGGATTCCGTGCTCACGGCCACCTCCACCGTGTTGGGGTTGGACTCGTTGAGGGTGAGGGGGTGCTGTCCCTGGAACACGTAGTTATTGAGGGTATCCTTGTGCCGGCTGGCCACAAACGTTTGGAGTTCGTTCATGTTGTCCCCAAAAATGCTGTCTTTGCCCTGGAAGGATCTGTTGTCGGAGTATATCAGGTTCCCCTTATCCGAAACCATGTCCATGATGAGGGACCCTCTTTGGATGAAGTCTGCAGCTCTCTTGGGAGAGTCCATTCTCGAGGAGTTCATGTTGGACATGTTGGAGATGTTTTTGGCTGACCGCAGGAGTTTGAGCATATTACTCTGGGAGCCGGTCAGGTTGAAGTCAGGAGACTTCTTCTTTTCTTCAATGTGCACCCCATGAATGCAGCTGTAAATGCCCTGTGGGGAAGCCAGCAGAAAACACAGTCAGCTACAGCAATGGCCTTGAAACTGCCTCACACTTGAACTTGACCCACCAACGTGCCATACACACTTCTCTTGGAGCCCTGGAGAAATGCGGTCCGAAACCCAGTGATGTTTCTTGAATCTATGATACTAGTTACGAAGCCATAGTTTTATCTCTCTAAATTTGGTTATTAGACATTCTTGCAAAGAATCACATACTGAATCTGAGAAAAGATAGCACCTGGTGCTTATATGATTTTAAGCACTTCAGAGATACTAAAGTATCACTGGGTAAGGATATGGAGATTGACCTGCCCACCACTCACATCCCAACCCACACTTTCATTAATGATTGTTTTGTTTGTTGTTTTTGTTGTTGTTTTCCATTGCTTTTAAAAAGTCACTCCTTAAGTGTGATCTGATCAAGAGAACAGTGCTGACTCATCCTTCATAAACAGGCCAAAGGCAATCAGCTGTGCAGTCCCCACGCCTACTCCCTGTGTTTGGTTACATCCCCAAAGAGAAATAAAAATCAGATTAAGGCTACAGGATCAGCCCTGATGCATTAGGATTGACAGAGAGCCAAGTCAGGAGGGATTTTGTATGAAGCGGATGCTGCTGCTGACTTTGGCATAAAAGGGGTGGAAAGTCCATGTGATTAACCGTGGGCTCTGAGAATGGTGGCTCCCTCAGTCCCTCATGGTGGGGACAAGCTCTACCCCACCAGGGTTGCCTGAGGGACTGGGATGGCATCAGGCCATTTGCACGGCTGCACTTTTATTTCTCTCTAAAGCCAGTTTCCACATCAGCTTCTAAGAAGCAGGAAATAGAGACATTCACAGGCGGGAGTTTGAGGGGTTCCTTGGGGCTCTCTCAGCCTCAGGCTTGAGGGAGGCCCAAGGGTCTGGTCTCATGTTTTTTTTTACCACCTTCTTGCAGCTGTATCTTTGGCGGCCTTCTCAACGTCCTGGAGTTGGCCGCTCTCCCTGTCACAAAGCGATGCCTTCTCCCCACCAGGAGTGGCTGAAGGGGGGTCTAGACCACGGGTCTGAACAGTGAACCAACGTGCAACGTGTTTCAGAGCTTCTTGACTCGTAATGTTAAGCTGTGTTCCTCCACCCAATTCAGTAACCCAGTACCCTCCGATTCTGACACAGAGGGACTCTGGGGAGACCTGGTGGTGTATCAATTAAGCACTCTGATGCTGAAAGAAAGGTTGTTGGGTCAAATCCAGCCAGTAGCTCTGCAAGAGAAAGATCCGGCAAACTGCTAGCATAAGGCCTGAATCCCTAAACAAGCCTGTTGTCAACAGTGTGTATCTGAGCAGCTTTGGAGCCCCTCTCCTCACCGCACCGGTCTGCAGTGAACACCTGTGAGTTCTGTGATGCCGCAAACGCCAAACTCAAGGGCAGAAGTGGCTGAATTATTTATCACTCGTGTTTAGCATTCCTCACACGCGGCTGCACCCATTCCCGGTGACCTGGCTGAGAGACCTTTTCCTCCAGCATCCAACTGCAGTCAGTTAAAGAAAATATAAAGCTCCACCAGCCAGAACTCGCCAGTGGTGCTTAGATGACACCGAGCAGCCAGAGTTCCTCAAGTGGAAATTGCAGACTCTGAGGAGATTGGGAGTCTCAGCGCCATCCGCACCCACCCACCACCAGGGCAGAGTCCTCTGCACGTGCCTGACTCCGCTCCGTGTGTCCTCCTGGGTCAACTGTGCCCCGGTTGGTCTCCTCCTTGACCTGAAGCCAATTCCCCTCAATTCGAGCTTAACTCCGAGTGACCCTAGAACTGTGTGCCATGTTTCCAAAGGCTGATTCTCCCCGCCCCCCTTTTGCAGAAATAGCTCACCAGGCCTGTCTTCTGAAGCATTTGGATGGGCTTGAACTTCTGACCTTTTCATTAATAGCCAACTGTGAGAATTCTTTTCATTACTTAGTGGAAACCCCTTACCCACTGCCATCTAGTCTAGTCCAACTTAAAGAGCCTTAAATGACAGAGTAAAACTGTCCCACAGGGTGTCCAAGGAGGTAAATTGATGGGAACAGATTGCCATCTCTTTCCCGTCTCATGGGTTCAAACCACTTGTCCTTAGCAATCAAGTGTTTAACCAGTGCGCCCCCAAGACCCCGTCCTTTAAAGATTACAGCTCTGAAAACCGGATGGGGCAGTTCTACCCTTGTTGTATGTGGTTGCTGGGAGTCACAATAGTAATGACAATGGCATCACCCACATACAGAGGGGACCCCTGGTTCCACAGAGGTTAAGAGTTTGGCTGCGAATTGCAAGATCGACACTATGAGCTCCACGGGAGACAGACAAAGCAGTTCTATCTGGTTGCTGTGTGTTTACAACTCCAAGGCACCCGATAACAACAACATGGTGGTAAGCGTGAGGTGAACGAGCTTCTGATCACAGTAATGACACAATCCGTGGCCAGCCCTTTTCCACCACCCACCTTCTCTTTTCATAAAAGTGTGAGCACGCAGCGTCGGTCTTGTCCAAGCTGCTCAAGATTTACTCTAGGATGTGACATTGGTCACCTGGTTAGAGAAGTAGCCTGCACCTGACTTTGGGAGCCATCTCTCTTAGGTCAGAGGTAGCTCCTTTCTGTAGAATTCTCCTTCCCGCCTCAACTCTCGTCCTGGCCCTGTCTCGTTATTCATAGATTCTGGCTACATTTGGGGATTTGTAGAAATATGACGTGCACTTGGCTTTCCAGTGAACTTGGAGGTCATATGACTCAACATGTGGTTGCAAATTGTTCACTGCTCCCCTCAAAGCACCTGGTTTATCAGTATTCACAATGGATACAGGCTTGACTGTCCCTGCTAGGTCCCTGGCAGCCTGGGCTCAGACCCCAAAATATCTGACTCCTGTTGGCTTCTCTTTCATTCTGTCTCCTGATCTCCTACGGTGAGGAGCAGCAGATTCTGAAGCTTAAATCCAACCTGTGAAGCAACAGAGGACCAAAACCTCTGCCTCCCCCTGCTGCCCAGGATCCCTCCACTCCAGGCTCTGGAGAAGCGAGAGGGGGACTTAGTGCATTTCTCATCAAGGTGAGCGTACCAATTTGACTTCCTCAATAGTGACTCAGAGAGAGGAAACGCGGTTCCAAAACCAAGCAAGATTTACAAGAAATGGCAACAGTGTATGTTTGTTTATGATAATTCCCGAGTCATTTAGATATGAAAAGCCTTTAGTAATTGGCTGGGAGAATTGGTTTAAGTTGGCATAATACCTAGCTATATATGCAAGCATGTTGTTATTTTTATGTGATCTGTGTATTTAGATGCCATCAAGCTAATTAGGAAGCATATATCTGCACAGAACCCAAGTTTATAGTGCAGTAGAAAGGAGAAAATAATTCCTCCTCATTAAGCTAATATATATATTTCCTTCAGAGTCTCCAAAGTTCTTCAAATCACTAAATGCCATGAATATTGCAATTCATTTAAAAGACACTATTTAGTCTTGCCAATAAACATTAGCAGATATGTTTTTAAACAAAAGGTTTTTTTAACCATGTTTTAAATACTCTTTAAGTACATTCAAGATGAGAAAGCACAAAGCTTGGCAAATAGGAGAAATGGGTAGATAAATAGCCGGATAGTTGGATAGGTAGATGATAGGTAGCTAGGTAGGCAGAGAGAAGAGAGGTGGGTATGTAGATAGTACGACAGGAAGTGGGTCTGTAGGTAGCTAGAAGATATACAGGTAGATGTATAGAAAGGTAGGTAGGAAGATAGATAGCAGATAAATATATGGGTAGGTAGATAAAAGATACAAAGGTATGTATCTATAAGCAGATAGGTAGATTAAATAGACATACAAATATGTAAATGGATGGATATTACAAATGGTAGACAACACTGTGCTGGAAAATGAGTGACCAATATGTATGTGTTTTTATTATAATGTCAGGTGTGCTACATATGTGCTATTATGGAAATTATGTGAGTCCTATGCACGTACATGCTCTGCACCATGAACTGTATGTGGTGTGTCAATTGTACGGGCTTTGCCTGGTGTCACACTATCTGGCCTCAAATCCTTTTATTTTTTTTTTAATTGTATTATTTTTACGTGTACCGTCAAATCAGATCTGACTGGTACAGGAGGAGGTTGCCTCCTCTTTCTCCAGCAAAGCATCTGGTGGATTTGAACCGCGTACCTCTGGGATTGCAGTACAGCATCTTGCCACTAGGCCACCAGAGCTCCCTCTCTATCTGGCCTCAAATCCTGACTCCACTCTACTGGCTGTGAGTCTTGGGGAATTCTCTTAATCTCCTAACTTCAAGTCTCCCTATTGGGTAAGTACAATATCTTTTGGGTAAAGATGGTTTGTAGATGAAATAAAGACGATGCACTCTTTTTTCTATGGCACCTGGTCCAACATATTTAAACACCCAGCAAATATCTGCATTTCCCATGACCATCGTCACTATTGATCAATCGTATCACATGTGCATTTTATGGGTTCACACATAAGAAGAGGTTCTCCTGTATTGCATGTGTGTTCCCTATGCCATTATGGTTACATGCCAGAGAGTAGGCAGCGACTCGCGGCTGACCCTCCAGTGGTTTTCAGAGTCAGTCACAAAAGGATAAATACTGCATGGTGCCACTGTTGTAGAATGAGACTGACATCAGGGTTGGGGTGAGACTGAGAAAAATTGGATAAATTATGTATACTGCATTGAAACAGATGAGGGAGAGAGCAGTTTAAAAGTGATATATGATTGGGTATTATGGTTATGACAAGAGATCAGAATGAAGGTTGCATAATGGGGTGTACTGGGGGCAGGCGGGGGAATTGTATACCAATGAAGGAATTTTTCTTATACTTTTGAAAGAGAAGAGTGAACTGGCGGCGGGGAGGGGTGGACAGGGAGAAAAGTGCAACAATGAATGAATGGAAATCCAAAATCTCATTAATTAATTAATGTTCACTAAAATTAAGAAAATAAAATTTTTTTTTAAAAATCCCATGGGAGGAGATTGCTCATCTTTTTCTTGCAGGGCAGATGGTGGATTTGAACTGTGTGTCTTAGAGTTGGCAGCACAGCTTCTTACCTGCTAGGCCACCAGAGCACATGCATTATACACATTATTATCTACTAGTATAGTAGACAAATGGACATGTCTACACTGTGTCTGCCTCCATCCTGCACGTATTCTCATGGTACTTCATATCCGTGTTGCATTTCTAGCTATGCTGCACTATACACATCTTCTGGGCTTTGTTAGCTGTACACCACACTCAACTGCATGCCATTCTGTGTAGATTTTGTTGTTGGCAATGGGTTTGCTTTGGTGTTTTTTTTTTTAATGCAGGCATGGCACTGTGATGTGCTAACAAGCAGTGTTAGTAGTGCTGCACGGTGGATGTGAGTAATAAAGATGGAACCAGACTGAGTTTTCAGATGTGGTTTTTTGGTCTATGCAATGTTGTCAATACTGTTTTAATGGAATTCTCAACTCAAACTCATTGCTGTCAAGGTAGGTGGATAGATCGAGATAGAAATAGCAGGTAGACAGGTAAGTAGGTAGAGAGAATGTATATTAAACTCAACTCTTTGCCTTCGAGTTGGAACCAACTCACAGCTGGCTCCTCAGTTGGTTTTCAGAGGCTCTAAATCACACGAGAGAGACTGCAGGTCTTTCTCCCATGGAGCTGCTGGTGGATTTGAACCATCAGAAAGGTACCCCCTTTCAGTTAGCAGCGTGACTCTCTATGGACTATACCATCGGAGCTCTTCTTAACGGAATTATTCATATTAATGGATTATTATTGTCATGACAGGAGTCCATAATGAAGGATGCATAGTGGAGTGGACTTGGGGCGGATGGATTGTATAACAATGAAAGAATTTTTCTTTTACTTTTCAAAGAGAAGAACGAACCGGGGGAGAGGGGTGGGCAGGGAGAAAAGTGCAACAATGAATGAGTGGCAATCCAAAATATCTGTAAATTTTCATTAATATTAATAATAAAGTGTGAGAGAAGATCTTCACCCTGAAACCCACAGCGTCCCTTTTCAGCAGGAAGTAGCTAAGAGAATACGCCGTCCCCTTTTCCTTATGACTCAGGGTGAAGTCTCTCTCAGGGAGGAGTGATAGGGAATGGCAAAGGACACACTGACAAAGAAGATTAATCAGAACTGGCTTTGACAAGCACTGTGGCATTTGGACAAGAACAAACTGGGAGGAGGGTAGAGAGAATAGTGCAACAATGAATGAGTGGAAGCCCAAAATCTCTGTAAATGTTTATGAAAATTAATAAAATATAATTATAGAAAAAATAAATAAAAATAATTTTTAAAAATGTAAAAATGGAACATTTTCATATACAAGTAGAGAGGTTTGCTTCTCTTTTAAATTTGAAAGATCGGATACTATTGGCCCTACTTTTTTATAAGAAAGACCCAACTGGAGCTATTGATAACTTTCCACTTTGGGTGTGAAGCACTGTGTACTTTGTCACAGCCCCCGGCCTTCCTTATCATTCCCCTTTCATGAACACCTAGCTTCAGTCACCATTACTCATCTCACTTGCAGTTTGTTCTCACGCCCAATCACCTTTGCCCCTTTCTGACTCCCACAGTCACCTCGGTTTGTAACCCCAGACTTCTGCCCTCACAAAAATCCCGATGACCTCTCGATCAGGTCTAGAAGAGCCAGCGAGTAAGGGAAGGCTGTGAAGACCCCACCGGGAAGAACGTCTGCTTCTCCAGAACCTTCCTGCAGCTCTGAAGCTGTCAACCCCCTGAGGAAGCCACCGCTGCGGGTACTGACCCTGCTGATGGAGAAGAGCAGTCCGGGTCGATCGGAGCACACGCCCGTGAAGCAGAAGCGCAGCTTCCAGTAGAAGAGGTGCTCCCAGATGAAGGTGATGAGGCTGAGGGCCATGGCCGCCGCCAGCATGTAGAAGACGCCCGCCATGTTGTCGATGTCCAGCTGACTGCTCATCACCTCGTTCTTCTCATTGTGGCAGATGCCCGTGAGCCACAGCGTCTCCAGCTCTTCCATCTCACCTAGACAGAACGTGACATCCACAGAGCAGGCAATTAAAGAGGGGGCATGCGCACGCGGGAACACATTGTGAGTCGGGGACATATGTGGCTGACTCTTGACTTCTTACCTACAGCTATGTGGCCCTAAATCTCCTAGTCTCCATTTGGTTACTAGTAAATGATAATAACGATGATAACAACATCCACCTGATGAGATGAGGTAACCCTGGGTGATGCAAATGGTTTATGATCTCGGTTGCTAACTGAAAGGTCAGATGTTCAATTCTACCCTGAGACATCGCCAAAGAAATTCCTGGTGATCTGTCTGTCATGAAATTAGCCACTGGAAATCCTTCGGGGCATAGTTCTACCCTGACACACACGAGGTCACCATGAGTGGATTCTGATTCGGCAGCTGGTTAATACATTTGCAGTGAAGGGGGAAATGTATCATTGCTACAGTGAACTTAGCACAATCCAAGGCTTTATTGTTGTTGGCATTATCGTTAACTTCCCAGCCCCATTTCTGTCCATCCCTACCCCCAAACACTTAACTCAGGTCAGGAACAGCAGATAGGGAGACATGGCAGCTAGAGTGGAAAGATTTGTATTTCAATTATAATTTTGTCTCTTCCTGGCTATGTAATGCTGAAGCTACAGTCTTCTTCCTTTGTGAAATGGGTTTAAGAATGGCACATCCCTCATAGAGTTGGGATGAGGATTATATGAGATCACATAAGCGTAAGTAGTGCCCAACCCATTGCAAGTTCAAGAGACAGTTGTTTTTGCAGGCTTGTTGGGAAGGGAAGCCCTAGCACAGTGCTTGGTGCATCGTGGTTGCTGCTGTTGGAGCTGTGAAGTTGATTTTACTCACAATGAGGCCATGATATAAGAGTAGAACCACCCCACAGGGTATCGTAGACTATCATCTCCATGACAACAGTTCACCAGGTCTTTCTCCCAAGGCTTTGCTGGGTGGGTTTGAACTGTCAGCCTTTCAGATAGCAGCTAAGCGCTTAACTGTGCTCCTGTGATACATGGGGGTCCTCAAATGTCTTTCCCCCTCACTTTACCACATCCAAGATTATGTCAACAAGTCACCAGCAAGCAGTGCACTCAGGATGTGAGACTGGATTGAAAAGAGGCTCCTCGACTGGCTGAGTGGTTCCTCGCCAATCCCAACACCCCCCTACTCCTCATTTAGATGGGCAATTAAAAAGCAGGTGAACTTTTCAGAGAAGGGAAGAAGTAGGCACACTTAGCATTATTTTATGTGCATTTTATCAAGTTGCCATTTAGGAGGAAATTCACAGATCTAAATGTTAGCTATTAACACTGTCTAGCAATTCTCCAAACTGCAGTACTTTGGCTATGATTCAACCTTCAAAATGTACTCTTCAAGGACAGTGGAGTGCGGGTGGGGGAATCACCAAAACAACAAAATGAATGTCATCGAGTTGATTCTGACTCAGAGAGACCCTACAAGACAAGGTAGAATTGTGCCCATAGTATTTCCAAGGTTGTAAATCTTTATGGATGTGGACTACCACATCTTTATTCCCCCCAAAGCATCCGATGGGTTTGAACTGCAAGCTGTTTGGTTATCAGTCAAGCATTTAGCCACTGTACCAGTCCATCAAGGCTTCTCTGAAAAATCAAGGAAGATACATGCACATTCTGACTTACAGCAACCCTCCAATGGATTTTCTGAGGCTATGCACCTTTATGGAAAGAGACTGTACACCTTTCTCCCTCACAGCAGTTGATGGACTCAAACCACTGACATTTCTGTAACCAGTCCATTACACATATGCCACTAGAGAGAGTGTGTGCACAGAAAGAGAGAGAATATAGACAGCTAGCTACATATATTTCTTCTTGTTGTTGTTTTGTGTCATCGAGTTGCCTGCAACTCATAGCAACCTTATGTAAAGACCCTAAACTCTGTTGTGTCCTGTGCCAATCTCACCATTTCCAACACACTCATCCCGATTACCCCAGACACTATATCAATCCACCTCACTGAAGGTCTTCCCCTCCTGCACTGTCCCTCCACCCTCCCAAGAATGATGTCCGTCTTCAAGGACTGGTCCCTCCTTGCAACATGTTTAAAGTATGTCAGATGAAGCTTCAGAATCCTTGCCTCCAAGGAGCAGTCAAGCTTCATCCTGGACAAACCTGTCTGTCTTCCTAGCAGTCCATGGTACATTCAATACTCTTCTCCACTTACATACGCATATTTGTATGTGTGCATATGTATCTCACACATATCTTCTCTGTAATAGGAGACATATACAGAGTACAAGGAAATATTACAAATGTTTACACTGATTCTCTTTAAAAGAGTGTAATCATAATTATTGCTTCCTTGCTTCTTTTAATGTTGAGTAAAAAACCAAAAAAAAAACCAAAAAACAAAACCAACCATAAACAAACAAACAAAAAAACCCACCAAAACCATACCCTTTGCTGTTGAGTCAATTCTGACTCTTGGAGACTCTGCAAGATGGAACAGAACTGCCCCTCAGGGTTTCCAGGTTATAAGTCTGTACAGAAGCCATAGTTTCTTCCCGTGGAGCAGGTTGCAGGTTCGAATCACCTACTCTCTACTAGCAGGGGAGGGTTTAATCACTGTGCCAGTGTAGGCTGGGTGAAATCAGTATGTATTACTTTTTATTTTATCTCAGTCTTAAGTGGTTTGTCTGAACATTGATGATTATTTTTCCTCAACCTTCTGACGATATTGTTTTCTTCTGATCTCAAGAGCTGCTGTAGATAAGGTTGCTGACTTTTTCTTGCAATTAATCTCCATGTACTCCTATCCTCTCTCTCCTATGCGGCAGAATCACACTTTGTCTTTGGTGTGTAATCTAGGTGTGGATTTGCTATACTCGTTCTGCTCCAGACTTACTTTATATTCTTCTACCTAATGGCTCCTCTCTGTAATTCCGGAAATCTCTCCCCTATTTTCTCTTTCCATTTTGTCTTTATTTTCCCTGTTGAAAACCAAGTCAAAATACATTGACCCTTTTCATTCTATCCTCCAGCTTCATAACCTTGCTTCAATATTTTCCATTCCTTCGTGGATCTGTGCTACAATTAAGTGATTCCCGCAGATCTATTTTCCACTCCATTTATTCTTTCATTAGTGATATTTAGCTTTATATTTTAATTCTAATTTACTTATTTCAACTGCAACTTTCATTTAGCTCTGCCACAGAGCTTCCTGTTCTCTAAAAATAACAGCCAGATCTCTTGTTGAAATTTTAAAAACTTCTCTTCTATATTTAATAATTTCAAAGACATAGTCTTTCAGATTATTCTTTCCTCAATTGCCTTTGAATTAACTCTCACTCATGGTAACTTTGTGCATGCCAGTGTAGAAATGTACTCAGTCCATAGGGTTTTCAATGGTTGATTGTTTGAAAGTGATATGCCAAGACTTTCTTTTAAGGTACCTCTGACTAGACTTGAACTTCCAACCTTTAGCCTAGCAACAGAGCACATCAATCATTTGCATTGTCCAGAGGTGCCTTTCCCCCTCTGGTTGTTGCAACACTTATTTTTCTGTCTGTTGTGTGTGCTGCATCTTGGGGTGGATTATTTCTGTGCACCACTTGTGACCTGAATTCTGAGGTAGCCATTGTCAGAGATGCTCTTCTCCCTATACTTCATGCTTCATGGGAGGTGCTTCTAGCTTCTAGAAATATCCCTACAGAGAGGTTCTTTCTGTCTGCCATGGATGCCAGGGATTCTGACGTATCAGTCTATATTTGTATGAATTTCTTATACTGCAAATACTGCCATTTAAGGAGAATTGATACCCCGAAAGTGACGTTCAATCTCCTTCTCAAGGCCACAAACAACTGCAAGAATCCACAACTTTTTTCTTTGGGGAACAGGTCTTCCTTACCTCCTTTTTACAAACAATGTGATCCTTTGAATGTTCTAATTTTATGCACTGATATTACTTCCTCCTCTTTTTGCATAGGCTTAGGGACTCCGCACAGGATTAAAGCCCCACTCCCCACATCTAGGATATGTACCCCCTCGGGCTGCAGCTGCCGCTGAAAGTGAACATGAGAATATCCCTTTCCACTTTGTTTCTGGAACCTCTCTTTCTTTTGAGTTTGCCTGTGTATTGTGAGTTGTGTGCACTCACACGCTAGTAAGCCTATACACTGAAGTACTCGCAAAAGGAAGAGGAGTATCGGGGCAGGCAAATGGTTAAGGCCGCTGATCCAAATGTTGCGAGGTGACGTGCACCCAGAAGCACCTCAGAAGAAAGGCCTGGTGATCTAATGTCCACAAATTAGCCACTGGAAAAAAAACCAATGGAGCGCTGCTCTCCACTGACACACATGTGACCGCCAGGTGTCACAGCTGAATGAATGGCAATTGATTTTGTAGCAGGTAGGGGGACCAAGTCAATTTAGGCTCCTGTCATGCCAGATCATGGATACATGCTAACTTTTGTAATCAGGGGGAAAAAGTAAAAGCTGACATATTTGGGGGGGGGCCGACCAAGAATCCATCCCCTTCTAAGCTCTTCACTCACACTTTTCCCTCTCTCAGTGTCAAAGGTGCAGGCAATCTCACAGACAAAAGCATCTTGATAATACATTTCTTAGCTTTTAACAGTCCTCCAGCTCCTTCACACAGTCACAGGGACCACTGTCGTTGGTAGGTGTGGCTGAGGTGATTTGTGACTTAAAGGGTCTCTTATCAAAGACTAGAATTACCCATAGGTTTTTCTTGAAGGCAATGTTATAGGAGCAGATCAACAGCAAGTCCTTTTCCTGTCGGGTTGCCCAGCAGCTTCAAATCAATTAACTTGTCAGTTAGCGAGCTCTGGTGGCTTAGAGGTAAGGAGTTGAGCTGCCATCCCAAAGGCAAGTGGTTCAAACCTCCCAGGCGCTCTACAAGGGTAACATGAGTAATCTCCTGTGCAATTTACTGCCTCTGAAAACTCACTGGAGTGTCCGCCAGGAGTTGGTTTTGGCTTGATGGTACACACAGCA